AATTAAGTAAATTGCCACAAATTTCTTTTATTTAAATTCAGAAAAATATGAATAGTATTTACCTTATCCCCTCCAAATGCACTTTATTGAATAGCATGCGACATGCAAGATTTAGCAACTTGTATGCCAATTTGGTTCTTAGAATATATTCACACAGCACCATATCATGAAATTACCTTTAAAATAGTTCCCTGAATTTTCATGAGTAACATATTTAAATAGTCTACTTTTATTTATTTTTTCCGTTTTTGCAAAGACTTCTTTTATTTTCATCATCTTAAGAACGATTGAAAGAATAATAAGAAAAAGAAAGATGCTTATAATGACTAATATTTATGTAAATAAGAAGTACAAATAAATATATTTTTAAATGTAAATTTGGGCAATCTGAAAAATCTAAAAATTAATACAATAATAATTACAAAAATCTTGGCCTTATTAATTATAGATACCATTCATCAAACTGGCAAATTTTTCGACTACAGTTCCCTAGTCCGATAAGTCCCGTATAAAATTTTTCTTTAAATTCAGACTCTAGACTAGATGCAGCCAAATTCATACCAGAGGAGTTTCATAATGCATTTCAGAAAAATTCAAAAGCAGCAGTTAAATATTTGTATTATTTTGAAAGTAAATTAAAGTGATTTTTGAGCAGAAAGAAGCGATTGAAGGGAATAAACAAGGCTTTCATATTTTTAATTAATCTGGTTATTTGTAAACATACATGAATGCAATTCTTGCTGTTCTTGCTTTATATTCAAGAAAGTACTTTCCTACATTACATACATTCTAATGTTTTCTATAATGCACTGTAAGCTCCCATAACAGATATAAAATCAAGAATTAGTTCTAAGTTACAAGGTCATTTTTGTGATTATAATAGTCAACTGATTTTAAAGGAAATAAATTGAGAAGTTAAGTGAACTTAACGCGCATTTATAACAATGTAGAAGCTTTTCATTTATACAAAGAATAAAGCAGTTAAACGAAAACGGGACCAATAATTTCTATTGATACTTCATCTTGCACTTTCGCAAAAAGGCAAAGGAAAAGAGAAGAAAAAGAGATGCTTAAAAAGAACTGCAGTTCAACGTACAAAATTTATTTAAAAATAAATCGAGATTTTAAGAATTTTCAGTCCAAAGGGGCTTTGTTCCTGAGAGACTATTGTTTTCGTTTTGGCATTTTGAGTTGAAATCTTTAAAAAGCTGTATCACTTTTCAAACTGTTGCCACCAAATATTAGCGCCTTGTATTATATTTGAAGAAACTAAATAATAAAGAATCTACATAAATATATGCATGTTTCTCGCATTGTGGTAAAACAGCGTTACCTAGAGCTATCAAATTTTGAATAACGTAATCCTACTGCGAATACGGGAATCTGGAAACCCTTCGGAATTTGTTTTATTATCGATTTCATATTTTGTAAAACTTAAAGGAATTTTTAATTAACAAACTCAAGGATTTCAAAGCGAGCAATGACAACGTTGTACAGAGAAAACAGTTTTATCTCTAGCGCGAGAGACTGCGTATAAGAAATCCTAAAGATATGATCAATTTAAAATTATTTTGCGATATTGTTCTTGAACTGAATATTGTAGTTTAAGTGCGAAGAACATGATATTTAATAACTAAAGGTAACAGACAAAATGTTAAAAAAACGCCCCTTTGGAGGTAATTTAAAATCTGAAACCTTTCAGATTTTTTTTTGTTTTATCTTTTTTTTTTTTTTTTTTTTTTTTTTTTTTTTTTTTTTTTTAAATCTTTTTTTCTTTCTCTCCTTTTTTCATACAATGGTTTAGATTTTAGTACACAAATAAAATAAGATGCAACATGCGAAGATCAAATCTTGCCTTAAGAATTTTAATTGCTTCATTGAATAATAAGATGATTAAAAATAATAAGAACAGATAGGCTTCCATTTTCCAAATATATGTTACATGTATACATATCTGTAGAACCGTTTAGTTAAATTTAATGTGGTTCATTAAGGCAATTAGTTGTCAAAGAGTATTCTGCTTTATCGATGGGCATTACCTATTCTAAAAGTAGAAAAGAAACGATAGTAAATCGCTGAAAACAAAATATTACTTTTGTTATTATTTAAAATGTTTTTAAATTTTTGTACAATTACTCATAATATCTGTTAGAAAAATAAGTTACTGATTGTTAAAAAAGTCAAGAGTCAGAGAAGGATTCAAATTGTGATTTTATATTCCAAATATAAAGCTACTGCTTATTATAAAGCAAGAGCAATTTAAGAGTTTAACAGTCTCCGTTTGACCATGCTGCTGCAAGCGGAACATGCATAAAGAAAGCAAATGATTCTTCAGCTCTTTCGATAACGAACTAATGGATATAAATGTAGAATAGACAAAAAACGTAATGATTAATAACGCACCATTACATATGCTGTTTAGGATGAAAGTGGGATAATGTTTTCCATTTCCTTATATAAAGTAAAGGAAGTATTGTAATCGCGAAAAATTTCGGGTATCGTATTTCAACGAAAGTCTCAATTTCGACAGGTCTCGTATCCACCCGAACGATGTTTTTGCGTACATCTGTGCGTACGGACAGAATAAAAGACTTTTTACAAAACGGATTGTAAAATGGGTTTAAAATGAATTCAGACGAGATTTTTTTGTGACGTCTGGACATATGTATGTAAGTATGTATGTATCTCACATAATAAAACGAGCAGCCTCAGAACTTGGAAAATTTTGTATTGGACTGTTATAACATAAAGTTGTGAACCTCCCTTTTTGGTTGCAATCGGCCACACCAAACATACATAAATATACATATATATATATACTAACTCTGTTACCCGGCTGGGTGAGCTCAGATTTTTCATTCTTACATGTTGGTAAATTATGAATTTTTTGCCTTAAAAGTTCTAGCGTCTTTAGGTTATTTCGAAGCAGGAGCATAGAAAATGAGCAATGCCCTCGCCGGACTTGAACCATGGATCTCTCGAATACGCGCCGAGCGTGCTGACCATTGCATGCTAAGAAGGCGGGAGAAATACCTTATAAAGTGATTGAATTAGGCTGTTCTTTTGGTTTTTATGACTTAACAAAAACCAGTTAACCAGTTAATCTGCATGAAATAGTTGTAAAATTGTCAATATTTTAAAAGTTGTTAAATAAGCCTAACGAAGCCGCCATCTGTTTACATTTGAAACTCTTGGTAGAACAGTGAATTAAGTCAGTTTTTGCACCAACTTTAGTTGCGTTTTGCTGAGTGGGACCAAAAATAAACTTTCAACTTTTTGCATCGAAAAATTTGTCTTCTTGCGGCTGGCGGAATCGCTTGTTTTTGCGTAGAAACTCTAATTTTAGTTGCAAAAATTGTTTTTGTTAAATGTTTTAGCTGTATTTGGTATTTTAGGTTTATCAGTATTTTACAATTTTTAATGAAGATGTTTTGAGTTTTCATGCATTTTTGCGTTGTTGAGAAGTGAGAACTGAATTAATTTAATGAGAAATATATCTCTAATGAACTTCGAAGATATAAGTTCAAATGAAGTGCAGCAAAAGTGTGTATAATAGAAATGAAGTAAAAGATGGAAGAAAGAGGTACAAGGAAGTCATGTGGTGTCCAACTTTTATATACTGCTTAAACGCATCGAAAATATTAAACACAAAACTAATATAACAGGATCCATTCAAATATTTTTACCGTGGTCCTTATGAAACAAGATAATTTGTTTGTGGAAATGAACTCTGCAGCAGCTGAGTAGCAGTTTTCACGGTATGAGCTATAAAAAATAGAAACGGGACCTTTTCAATATGTTTTAATTGCTTTATTTTTAAAAATTGAAATTTTAATATAATAAGGAAAATAATTTATTCATTTGCATTTCATTAATTTTAATTAAGACTATCACAGTTACGAGAAAGCATTTATTACTTGGAAATGAAAATTATTAAATAATAATAATAAAAAAATTGTGCAAAGATATTATTGTTTTTCGCATTACGAACACCGGGTGCTTCCGCTTGCTTTCTGCGTTTTTAAACTGCAAATAACTTGACAAAAATACAGCTTATAAATTAAGAGATTTTAAATTAACCACACTGATTTATTTAGATTCACCATGACCCCCCCCCCCCCCGAAAAAAAAAAAAAAAAAAAAAAAAAAAAAAAAAAAAAAAAAAAAAAAAAAAAAAAACTGATCGATTCCCTGTCTTGCATTGGCATATGTTTATAGCGTTTTCCAGACTTGAATGCTTTCTTCAGTAATATGAAACAAAATAGTATACACCACTTTTCTATTAGATACGGATTAATAACTTCATAATTAATTTAGATGCTTCAAAAGAAGTTCACTTATCGTGATGGTTTTTTAGAACCAAAATAAAAATTGCATTTGTTCTTTAAAACAGAACTGAATTGAAGGCAGGCAAAAAATAAAGTGAATGTGGTCTGGATTCATAAAATATATGGCACAGTACGAATAAAAAGCACTCATCATGTGCCTGAATTTGAATACAGTCAAATCTTTAGTTAGCGGACGCTCACGAGACAGGTTTTTGTTCACTATTAGTGAGTGTTTGCTAAATTGTCTCTTTTCACAGCCCGAAGATTCAGGAATTATTCGTTAATGCAAAGTGCCCACTAAATCGGAATTTTCGATAATGGAACCGCAATAGTCTTTGGCATTATTTATGGCTTTAAGTATATAAAACAATCTTTAAATTATATTTATTAATTTTATAATAATTTCATTTTAGTGTACATGGAACATTTTCCGAAATAAATTCATACAGCTTTACAAGAAAAATTGCAAAACAAGCGGTGTAATTCAATAAAGAATAATTCCAAATAAAATTTGTCGAATTTAATTTATATTTAATAAATATCGTTAACCGTATATTAAAAGTATAAGAATGTTTTGTATTTTAATCTAATTAACTGACATTACTAAAAAAGTTTAATATTTTTTATCATATTTACTATTTTTTTGAATAATTGTGTCATTCATTATTATGCAGGACAACCGGATGTAGATGCTTCAGAAGAAGAGTCCCTTTACAACAGAAGGGGTAATCAAATCTTAGTTCTTGTTTGTTCTTTGAGAATGAATTTTGAATTTTAATTATTAAAAAATGTATATACACACCTCGCTTATTTCAGCTAATCCCTAAAAGGTCTTAAAACCTGTCAATGCTTGTATCTCTTTGGCATTAGGTAATAAAGAGAGAGAGAGAGAAAAAAGAAATTCTTTCTGTTGTACCTCGCGAGATACATGCGCGCCAGAATAAGAAGATTGCGATGGGCGTGTCGCGTGTATAATTAATAATATTTTATCTCATATTTTCAACTGTCAGCAGTCAGTGTACAAAGCATTGAATGAAAAACGGTTGCCCAAAATACATTTCTAAAAGAATGACACTATTCAAAATGATGCGATTTCATCAAAAAAGATAAAATAAAAACAATGTGATTCGAATTTTGAAAAAAATCGCTTCGAGAGGTGTACTGGTTCTTGTCTAGATGCACCTGTATCAAATTTCGTAGCTCTGGGTATATTAGCTTACTCACAGCACGAACGAAAGACACGCACACATAGACATACTCTTTCTTTTATTTTATATAGACATTATCTGAAAATGTCATTAAAAGCCATTGACAGAGAATTACTATTAAATTATTAGCACATATTTGTGCAACTCCTAAGAAAAATTATTCACCCTTTTACCGAAGAGCCTTTAAAGAATGACTCTATATAAAAAGAGAAGGAAGAGTTCAATAATTTAGATCCAAAACGCTAAAATTAAAAGATTTAGATCCTGGAAATTATTATCTGGTCTCATTGGAAAGAATTCAAGCAAAATATAGAGCTTCTATAATTGCGAAATTAGACGTGGTTAATGAGGCAAAAGAATATTAGCTTGCTAAAAAACATGGTGAACTTTTTGATAAAGCCATAAATGAAATCTATAATGAAAATTAGGTATTATGCTATAAAAAAAAATTAAAGATGGGGAATATGTATATAAATTAGATGAATTAGAATAATCTTTCTTGTATCTTTATATTGTTATTTTAATTTTTATATAAACTTGTACAATTTTTCTTCTTTTAATTTTGAATAAATTATGTGACCTTTTATTTAATTTTTGGAACATTTCCTTTTTACATTATTCATTTATAATTGAAGCTATGAAAATAATGAATTTCAATCATTTTTAGAAACTTTTCTAAATATCTTTATAGCCAAAAGGCTTCTAATCCGAAGGATCTATAAATGATTAAAACTTATTCCTGAAAATTTTTTCCTGAAAGTTTTTTTCCTGAAAATATTGAGGCGATAGCCTTTCGGCTTTGAATTTTGAGACCATAGCTTTTCGGCTTCGAAAAAACATGAAAATTGATATATTCAATATTGAAAATATTGATTTTTGAAGACATTTAAGAAATGATGAAAATTTATATATTTTCGTGAAAATATGAGTTTTTAAAGGACTGTTCTTGGACACTTTTACATATCTCTAGGTTTAATTTTGTACCATCCAATAATCAGAAAAGCACTACGGTGAGGCTAGATATTTTGTGATCTGTTGTTTTTATGCGAACCGTTTTTGTTCTTTTCATTGTAAAGTTATTAGGTTATTTTGAAGAAGAAGATGTGAAAAATGTGCAATGCCCTTGCCTGGATTAGAGCCTGGACTTTCTCGAATATGCGCCGAGTGTGTTACCGTTACCCCAAGAAGGCATGCTAGAAGGAGGGATAAAATACGTTATATACTCCTCCTTTTACAGTGCGATTGGGGATTAAGCGAACCAATCGGCAAATGCTGGTAGTGGCAAATTATTGCCCACCACCTTTTAGTTCGGCTTTTACTGTAAAATCATTTGGTTATTATTTTGAAGCATGAGACGTGAAAATATGCAGTGCTCTTACTGAGTCTCGAACCCGAACCTCTCGAATACTCGCTGAGTGTGCTACCGTTACACCACGAAGGCATGCTGGAAAGAGACAAAAAGTACCTTATAACACAATTGTTTTATTTCTTATCGCATCACACATTACTGGAGTTTCATCCATCTTTCCAATATGTGAGAATAAATAGTTTGTTTTTCCTTTGTAGGTTAATAACGTACTTCTGGAAACTTATCAATTTGTTGTTTAAATCTTTCGAAAGCCTTTGCAAAACTTTTTTTTCTGATAGAACTAAATTATTCAATACTCTAAATCGAGTACATAACTCAAAGTTACTTTAAAGTTTTACTTTTATTCGGATTCTTTTTTTGTCCTTTTTAAGGCAAATAAGCGTAATCTCTTTCTTGTTACAATTTATCCATTCTAGCGATTTTCTAGGACTCAATTCGCAACACTCTTTTCTGGGATAGGCTTTACTCCTTTACGCAAAGCACATTTAGTCTTTGGCATATTAATTATTGTGACTACATTTTTCTTCGAAAGCCTGGGAAAAATCGCCGAATGAATGTAATGGAAAAAAATCTTCAAAAGATAGCATGTGTATATTTTAGGTTTCTTCCTAAAGAAAACGGCGTGCGTTATACACCGGAATACAGGGTAATAAAATATCCCACTCATACAGAAATTTATAGTCTAATAAAATATAACACATGTTTGAAGTTTATTGCATTTGTTAGTTTTGATTTATTTATATGTTGTATTAAGTTTTTTTATTATGTGCACTAATATTTATTTTATTATCCATTTTATTTCAGTTTATATGCTTTCAACGGACGGTAAATATGAGTTTATATTTTAAATAACATTTATTGTTTTCATTGGATAACCAACCTACATTTATATGCTGTTGTCTTTTATGTTATGAAATGTATGCAGTTGGTGTGTTTATTCTTTATGTTATGGATTGTATGCTGTGTTGGCGTGTTTATTGTTTCTCATATTCCTTGAAGTGTATTCAAGTTCTCTTTTTAAGTTTAAAGTTAATTTGAGAACATATCCTATATCTCAACAAATTTAAAATAACAATCATCTTAACCAGTTAAATAAAAATTCGCTCCCTATATTCATATTGCAGCATATTTTCCCCACACTGTTTTTTATTTCAACGCCTCTTATTTGTGATTACGTTTGCTCAATGCTCCCCTGGAACTTCTTCAGCGCCACTAATACTTGAGCCAAAAAATTGTCCTCTAAATGTTGTCTATTGACACTAGTAACTAAATATCATTTAAATGCTTAGATACTTATTGCAATTACATTGTACCAAATTAAAAACTAACCTTACCACGCAAAACAGAATGGAATGATTAAAAACATTTTAGAACGTTTATATTAACAATAAACCAGAAGAAATGATATATGAGTATGCATTTAGAACAGATAAAGAGATGTAATATTCAAATGTCATTTTATGTGCGCATTATTATCAGTAAATCTTATAGAGCACGGATGTTTAAAATCCACATTGTGATATCGAACTGAAAAATGCGTCTAATAATGAATCTAATATTGGGTACGGTTCCCTCTCACAACCAGACTGGTCGTGTATGTCACACAATATTAGACAGGAGGAAGCTGACGATATTGAATAGGAAGTAACATGCCATATTGGATAGGTAGCACACCATCCCACTTCTGCAGCAAGGCAGTTTTCAACTCCAGGATGATTCTCGAAAGGAGATTGTGAGATGAAGGTACCCTCACAAGAGCGTGCTATACATGTTTTATAGTGTTAAGGTCAGGAGATCTAGCTGGCAAATCCATACGCCGAATATCATCACTTTCCAGGTAATCGTCGATCAGTTGAGCAGTTGAGCCCTATGTAGACGAGCATTGTCGTTAATTAACAAGAATACAGGACCAATTATGCCTCTGAAAAATCGAACGTAAGGCACTCAGATCTTCTCTCTGTACCTCCTAACAGTGAGCGTTTGTCAAACACATGCAGTGGTCTGCACCGTTCAATATAATGCTTGCTCAAACCATTAAAGCTTCACCACTGTAATGATCCATTTCTCTGATAAGGGACTTCATGTTCCAGGCTGTCTGCAGATAAAAATACGCCGAGAATCACTGTCCCGGCTGAATCTCGACTTGCACGTAAAACGTAAGGTGCTCCAGTGTATTCTGGTCCAAGACGCATGTGTTCTGCACTAACCTAAACTTGCTCTTTTGTGAGCTACAGTGTGCGAGACGCAAACAGCGAGCCTTCTGGCATACTGCTTATACGATGAAGCATCCAGCTGGAGACAGTAAAATCAACTACTGTCTCCAGTTGGTTTCAGTAACTCCTCCAACTAGAGAAAGTAAAACTCAGGTTCCATTAACACGTAACAGCTGAGAAGCCGCAGCAGTCCTCTGTCGCAACGCTAAAAGTGCCAAATAATGATCCTTATTTCGTCATCGTGGATCTTGTTTCTCTTTGTTCAGGTCTTTTTGATATGGATTTAGTGTCCTGAAAAGTGTGTCCCCAAACTGCATACGACATTGGGCATGAAGCTGAGCTCTGTAGACAACTGTGCTTGTGACTGGCCTGCCTCCAATCTACCGAAAATTTTACATCTTATTCTGTCATCCATAAGTTCCGGGTTACTCAATTTACGTCAAACTTTATAAAATTTACCCAACGTTTTCGAGTTCGAGCACACAAACCGCTGAAAACCGCTCGTGCGCTTGTATCCTCTCGGCCGTCACAGCTGCTCAGACTCGCCACGTGTACACTTATATTCGACTCATTGCATAATTTTTCAGTGGCATAATTAGAACTTTTGGTTCTGTACTTTTGTTAGAATAGACATAATTTGCAAATTCCCTTCATTTTATATAAAAGTGTGTATTGAAAGACCACACTATTAACGCCTATTGATTACTACTGCAAGTTTAGACTTGTATAATATTGATACAGTTGATAAACGTTATAACGATAGCTTGCTATAGCGACCATTTCATTGCAGTGAGAGCTAGAATCTTTTTATGAGAGTGTGACAAAATCCACTTATAAATGTTGTGACGATCATTTGCTATAACATCTTTTACTAAATTGATTTTAGAACTAGCATGTATAAAGGTTGACGTAAACGATTTGATTCTATAACGATGCATGAAAGTAGTTTTTAAAAAATTATTTGGTAATCAAATGTTCAAAAAGTCTGTTTATGAACCACTTGCTTCCCAATGCTCGTTTACTGTCCTTTAAGACTACTGATGCCCCCTCAAATTTCTTCAGCATCCATTTGGCAAGGAGTTTTAAAAAAAAGGAATAATTTTTATTCACATTTAATTAAGTAATAGTATCAAAAGTTTTACTCTTGAAATTATTATGCGCATTTGAATTTAATTAGCTTACAATATTATTTAAGTTTAAATATTTTAGCTTAAATACAACTTATTTTATAATGCAATTTATTCTGATGATAATTTTATTTTGCAATTTTATTTGCAAACAACAGGTCGTAGCCCAACAAAATGTGTTAATGGAATCATTCTAGTTATAAAGAGGGGAAGTGTCGGCCTATAAGACGTTCATCGTTAAATGTTGCCTAAGTAACTGTGCGGCACACGTGAGGTGGGGCGCAGCCTGCATAAAAATCGTAGCATCTAAAATGTCACGTTACTGCAGTTCATGTATCACGGAACATTTTAACATTTACTCTAAGTGAGCTGCAATCACAGTGGTCCAGCTGTCGACTGCTCTTCAGAGAAAAATGGTTCAGTTAAACTAGCTGTCATTCAACACTAACGGTGTGGAATGACTGTATGCAATCGAATGCAGTGGAGAATGCAATGGAACTAGATAGATAACTGAGGGATTTCTTCGCCCAAATCGATAAAAGCGTTTTGAATCAGTATCTTCATGTTTAGGGCCGAATTCGCTTCAAAATTACAAAATGCGATCGTAAGAAAACGATTCCAGATCGTAGCACTTGTTCAAGTGACTTGCGATCTCACATTTCTAATCGCTATTCGTGGTTTTCACGGACGAATTTCTCACTTACGCGGATGACGCACTCGACTTTTATCGAATAACGCCTTAAATGGTAATTTGCGTACTTCAAAGTTTCTTAGGGTATACACATATTAAACGCGTGTAAAAAGGTAAGTTAGAGCCGACCATATTTCGTTTAACATAGGCATACAGCCCATTCTCCCCTGGTGGTGAGGTTTCGAACTCCTTTATCGCGGAAATAAATTCCCGACCTCCTTTACACGATTACAAGTTTGATGGACATTGATCCAGTACTTTTCCGGGGACCGTTCAGTGGGGAACTTTAAAAACCACTCGTATATTATTAAATTTTAATTTGAAGCGATGAGTTTATGTTACCATGGTTAAAATTTCCTCTTATGGAAAAATAAACATCGAAGCAAATATATTTAGATAAGGACCAAAACTGAAAAATGTTCCCTTCCCTCGAAAATAAAATATTGAAACGACCTTGAAGGGTTGGGTTAGCGAAATATTTAATTTTTCTGATTTCTCTTCCTAGTTCCGACACAATTCCGTCAAAAATTCGAATTACTAACTGAGTAAAAGATTTAAATCTCACTGGATGTTAATAAAGTAATCAGAGTGTAATAAAAATAAGTTATAGAATTTACTCTGATGCAACTTTTTGTCGGACTGCACAACATGTAATAGAAGAGAAGGCTTGTAGAGATGTGTTTTTGACATCTGTTTTGACTGTCCTCTAAAAGTAGATGTCATACTCCTTTCGTTTCTTCAGTGTCAAAACACTTTCCTTTGAGAGGCAACTTTAGTTTTTGGGAAAGAAAAAAATGCAGGACGATTGAGTACACATACTTATTTTCGGAACACAAGCGGTTATCCGATTGGTTATTGAATAATGAAAAGATGCATTGTCATGCAATACAAACATTGGAATACGTTTTCGACGACGAAGATTAAAAGTCATCGCTTAATTCACAGCCATTTACAAGTCAACTACTCGGGCCAATTGCGAATCGTTTTGATTTTGAACTTGAAACAAAACCTAATATCACAATTAAACACTATTTAATCTTCGCAGAACATTCCTCTTTCTCATATCCAAGAATCTTAAGTGAAGACAATTATGCAAAAAAAAATTGAATATTATTGCACTACGGCTTGGCAGTTTACGACGAATTAACAAAACTTAAAGCTGATTTTTGTGTCTAAGAATACAACAATATTTAAATGGGAAATAAAATTAAATTGGAGATTAATTGGAGTCTCACCAGTACCTAGCTTTGATGATGGTTAAATACTAATGGTGTGCGAAGTCTAACCCAGGCGCAGAATGGTTTTGTAGGTTTTTAGGTTCTCTTTACAAAGGTCTCTATGAAAGCATCTAACCAAAGGCTCCATGTTTTTCTATGTTCAAAACCAACTAACCTAGTTTAAGCGCGATTCCAAGTGAAGTTACTAGAAAAACCCGGAATGCTCATCAAAATTATAGCTTGCCAATCAGGAGTAACATGAATGACGGCGCCAATAATTGAAGTGCTCTACGGTAGCTATTTCTAAACTTAGATGGTCATTCCTTAATAAATAATTGATTTGGAACTTCTGTAGTGCTGACGCTAAAAATGTGCAAAAATAATATCGTGGGCAACCTGATTAAATAAATTAGAAATATTTGCATTCAGACAGAATGTTTTTTGCAATATTTGCAATGACTTATAAGAAGGATTTATAATAACCGTAATAATACGTATATATTACTGATGATAGGATTCAGTTCTTGACAATATTCTAAATTAGAATTTTAAGGATTGTAATGAAAGACGCAGCGCA